CCCGTCCTCTTTTTTGCTTGTTGAAATATGGTAACCCTAGGAGAGCTCACCCTGGCAGGTGTTCTCACTCGCGTGCATGAAGTTGGCTTTCCCAGAGCTGGGCTCGTAGCCATCAATGCAGCTGCAGGTGTAATTCCCAGGCACATTGGTGCAGTTTGCGTGGGCTCCGCAGTCTGCCGGGCTCGGGCCCTGACACTCGTCAATATCTGCAACACAAGAGTGGACGCTCTGTACAGTCCTGGCAGGGAGACGTTCCTGTATCACCCACCTGCACTGAGCTGGGTGATGGGACCCAGGCGACCAGGCCCCTGGGAGCTTAACAATCACAGGCCTGATTCCCAGCTACGCTCAGGCGACACTTGGCTGCTCTGGCAGCGGAACGGCCACTCGAGAATATGGTGTATTGAAAACTGTATTAGCATCACAAGCTCTCACTTTACATCTGCAAGGGGCTTTCCTGGACCTGCTTGCGGGCGAGGGGGCTGCAGCAATTTAGCAGCTGGCAGCTTCCAGCGTCCCCCAGTGGAGACACCCGCATGTGGGTATCCCCTGCCAGGGGACTGGCATTGGTGCATGCACCAGCTTCACCAGCGCAAAGGGGTCTCCAAGTCCACTGGACTGCGAGCCCAGAGAGACCTCTCGGTCTGTGCCCTGGGCAAACTCCCTGGCCTGAGGGATCGACATGGAGTTGGCCAACCCGGGTGTCCCCCGCCATGCCACGGGAAGCCAGGGTGTCTCAGGGAAGCCTGGGGCTGGGCTGGCAATGCCAGTCCCAGCACATGCCCCCTCCCAGCGCTGCCCTGGGGGAGCGACATGGAGCTGGAATAGAGAGAGCCTGCAGCAGGGGCCTGGTACAAGGCCTGAACCAAAGTCAGCAGAAGTGATGCTCTGAGCAAAGTCCGGCCCTGTGGGACACTGAGCCAGAAAGGGTTAAGTAACTTGCCGGCTAAATGACCCAAATTCTGCCTTTAAAGCCACACTAGAAAAGGAGCCGGGCGCTGTGTTTCTGGCTTCTGGGTGAGCAGCACGGTATCGGAGCAGCTGGTTTGTTGCTGGCTTGGTGAATCTAAGTATCAGAACTAACCAGCAGTTTGGGGGATTGTCGGCCCCACTCTGCAGTTTGCCCTGATGGAGCAATCTCAGTGTGGCCACCCCAGGCACCAGTCACACCCTGACACAAAGCAGAGGCTTCCTGCAAGTTCACCGTCCGGTGCACGAACTCGGCCCCAGTATTGCCGGCATTGCCAACACATAGTATTGTAACCACATCCCAGCGCGAGATTCCCCTGCCTAGCGCACGATAAGATGGTTTGACGGGTGGGGAATGTTTTGCCTGAAGCATCAGGAGTAAAGTACAAAGCCAGGGGGTGAATAAGGGAATTTTAGTCTGAAGCAGCAGGAGAAAGGCACAGGAGGGGTAACAAGCATGTTGTGAAACACACAAGCTGGAAAGTAGGTTGTTTATCCCGGATGGTTTGTCTCAGTCTGTAACTGTCGGGGTCCATTGTCAGAGGCAGACGTGTGGCCGCGTCCCTGTGGCATCTCTGGGCGCTGGCACCGGGCTGCATTGGCAATAAACCTGGCCAAGCGCCTTCGCCACTGATCCGACTCTGTGGGTTGTCTGGGCACTGCGATGGAGATCTGCCGGGCTGGCGACCTGCCCAGAGCCGGGACAGCACACGGAGCCAACGAACGCCAACCCCGTTTCCCCGCCCCAGACTGCTGGAACTCAGGGTGCCCCAGGGAAGCCTGGGGCTGGGCTGGCTCCATGGGTCTGTTTCTATCCCCAAGGGTTTATTCCCTGTCCAAGCACTGGGCACAGGGGTGAGCCCGGCCCCATGGTCTGCGGAAGCAGGTGAGCGTCATGTCTCATCACAACCTCGCGGACGGCCCCGGTGTGGCCCCTTGCTGGGAGTGGGCACATAGGGTGGGGGCCAGAGGAGAGCTCACCCTTGCAGGAGTTCTCACTCGCGTTCGTGAAATTGGCTTTCCCAGAGCTGAGCTCGTAGCCATCGCTACAGAAGCAGTAGTAACTCCCAGCCACGTTGGCGCAGTTTGCTTTGGGTCCACAGTCTGGCGGGCTCGGCCCCAGACACTCGTCAATATCTGTAATGCAAGAGGGGACGCTCTGTACAGTCCTGGCAGAGAGACGTTCCCCATATCACCTCCCGCCCCCCGGCCTCCCGCACTGAGCTGGGTGATGGGACCCAGGCGACCGGGGCCCTGAGCGGTTAGTGATTAAGGGCCTGATTCTCAGTTACCCATTTCTGCTGCTGGAATGTTGGAAACAGCCCCCCCCCCAGAGCCTCCTGTCCCAGGTACGGGGGGTTAGCCCCACAAACACCCAGATCCCCCATGTGAGGGGAGGGTGGGGAAACGTCCCCCGGGGCTCCAGGGTCTCTGTGAGTTGGTGACAAGCTGCCTCTCCTCTGCCCCCTCCCTCCTTGGATCCCTATGTGGCAAGGGAGTGTGGGGGGGAAGTATAGCCAGGGCTGCCCCATTCTGCTCCCGTGGGGCCCCTCTGCCCCAGGACACCCAGGGGCTGACTAGGGCCCAGGCTGGGATTCAGACGGGTCAGTGTGATGGGCCCCTCCACCCTGTGCCCAATCCACAGAGCCCAACACTCCTGGCTCCCGCTGCAGCCACTCCTGCCACTCACTCTGGAGGCCCTGGTTCGATCCCCAGGAGGGCGGCCCTCACCCGTGCTGCTGCTCCCCCCCATTCCGCAGCAGGGCTGAGCCCCCCCAACAGACCCTGCAGTCAGTGGAGTTGGCTGCTCCGGCACTTAATGCCCTGCTCTGACCCAGCCCCCCCAGGACAACGTGGGAGCCCCGTTACCGTCACAGATCTCCGTTGGGTCAGTGAAGAAGCGATTCCCATGTGGCTGGTATCCATCCAGGCAGGTGCAGTGGGTGTTGTTCACACACGTGGCGTTTGCTGGGCATAGCATATGGCTGTTGCAGTCCTCAGTGGTACCTGCAGGGACGGGAACAGCTGTGCAGGGTCACCCAGTGCAAAGCGGCTCCCCGCCACCCACCCACACACCGGGATCGACTCCTTTCACACGTCCCATTCACTGATTCTCGTCCCTGGGCGCCTGGCAAACAGCTCCGACACCATCTACCGCCTGCCAACAAGCTTCCGTCGGCTGCACAGGGGCCTTGGCTCCCCGGGGTGCTCCCGGCACAGACAGGCAGCACCGTCGGTGCAAGTGAAACGTTTTCGATCTCACTCAATTTTTCTCCTTTTTGTTCCTGTCGTCGTTACTCTCATTAGCATCAATTTCAAATTGAAACCTCACTTCGAACCAGAAATCGGGAATTGTTCGTTTTGAAAATTATTTCATCTTCCCCGCCCCCCGGGCAATTATTTCCCGAGTAAAACCAAACATTCCTCTGAACCGAATTGACATTTTCTGGCAAAAAATGGGTCCTGGGGAAGTTCCTGCCCGGCTCTGCTCTGGATTGACTGAGAGCGGAATCGGGTGTGAGGCTAGTTTGGATCCTGAGCTGCCTCCCATGACCCAGACTGTGACCTGCCTATGGGGGCTTCTGGATCCTTTAGCTGCCCGGTGTCTGGGGCTCTGCTGGGATCCGTCCCTCTGGCCAGCGTGAGGGGAAGGATCCCAGCGCAGATTAGCCGGCTGCAGGGCTTGGGATGGGAGCAGACGGAGCAGGGTGGGTGCAGGACTGGGGAACCCCAGTGGGTCAATGGGAATTTGCCCCATCTTGGGATTCGCAGCAGAGCTGGGGTCGGGGCGCAGAGTCCGGATCCCAAACACCCCCCAGCTGGGCATGTGGGTCCCAGATTTCAGGTCAGCCCGATTTTAGAGGGGCAGGCACCTACAAATGCCACTTCTAACATCTGAGCCATCAGGGGCTTTGATTTGGGCTGGTCAATAACAGAGCCCTTGGCTAGAAAGGAGATCTGCCCCTCCCTCCAGCACCCAGTGTAGAGCCCTGGGCCCCAGTGTCTATTCCAGGGGTAGGCAACCTATGGCACGCGTGCCGAAGGTGGCACACGAGCTGATTTTCAATGGCACTGACACTGGCCAGGTCCTGGCCACCGGGCTGGGTGGCTCTGCATTTTAGTGTAATTTTAAATGAAACTTCTTAAACATTTTAAAAACCTCATTTACTTTACATACAACAATAGTTTAGTTCTATATTATAGACATAGAAAGAGACCTTCTAAAAATGTTTAAATGTATTACTGGCACACGAAACCTTACATTAGAGTGAATAAATGAAGACTTCTGAAAGGTTGCCGACCCCACTCTATTCTCTGCTGGCCATGGGGCTGGGAAGGGAAGGGGAGGGCTACACAGGGCCCTTCTCCTCTCCCCTGCACGCACCCACCGTGCTCTATAAACCCACCCCAAGACGCCCACGCCCAGGGGCTGCTCCCGGCTTGCCAGACCCCGACTCTGCTCTCCTCCCACAAGGGAAAGGGACCGGAGGGGGCGGAGGGCGGAGACCCCGGGCAGCTGGGAGAGCTGGGGAAGGTTAGCCAGGAGGAATCAGCCTTACCTTGTGTGCCGTTATTCTGGGCCATGGTGCCCCCCAGGCACAGGGCGATGCAGAGCCCTGGAAGGCAGAGACAGGGTAAGGCACCATGGGCAGATGGTAACCGCCACTTAGCTGCACACACCCCCAGCCTACCCCGTCCTGCCAATCCTGGGCCAATGGCAAGTCAGTGCCCTGCTGATGGTGAAATTAAAAATGCAGAAACCTGGTGCTCTGGGAAATCAGCCCCAGCTGGGATCCCTGGTAATAGTTTTAACTAATTCAAGTAAGCAACTGGACTTTTGGCCAGGGCAACTGGGTCTTTTATTGTGTGTATTGGCAACAAAGACCAGGAGCCCCCATTGTCAGGGCCAGATTTACACTTTGGGCACCCCTTGGTGCAGGGGCTCGGCAGTCGTTCCTCCCCTGTCCGGCTTGGAGCTCCAGGGTCCCTGCTGGCTGGAGGTAGCCGGGAACTGCAGGGTACCCCTGCTTCCCGGAAGCTCTTAACTGCCACGGGCGGCGGGGGATCCCCACCACTTTTAATTTTTAGGTGCCCAGACACCCAGCGACCCTCCGCCCAGTGGCCCCCACCCCCTCTGCCCAGAGCTGCCCCATGAACTCGCACAGAGACCCACTCTCCCAAGCCCTGCCCCCCGTCCCACACTCACTGGCCCCCCTGGGAGGTGACCCTGTCTGCTGGGCGGAGGGAGGAGCTCTCCAGCAGCAGGGCTGTCTGGGGCTGTCTCTCCCTCAGCCGGCCCCACCCCCTGCAGGGACCTGAGCAGCAAAATTTGAATTTTTAGGTCCCCATAGAATGCTGGCACCCCTAGGCATGTGCCTCCTGTGCCTAATTGGAAATCCGGCCCTGCCCGTTGTGCCGGGAGGCGCCCAGAGCCCACCAGCTCCTCCCCAGAGAGGGGTGAAAGGGCTTGAGGGCACCCCACAGGGAGAAATCCCCAAGTGCTCCTTCCTGGGTTCAAAGGGTTTCTTTTGCATTTGGCAAGTATTAATTTTTAAAATCCTTGTGTGCCCCCACTTCCTGCAGTTGAGGTGCCAGAGTGGGGATTCAGCCCTGACACCATCTTTGACCTCTCCATGCTCTGGTCTCATAGTGAGCCCATCTCAGCCAGCCCCAGGAATCTGGCCCAGTAAATCTAAGGGTGTTTCAGTGAGTCTGGATGGAGTCTTAGTTCAACGTGAGCATTGGAGGGAGCAGAGGAAATTGCACGTGACACCAATGTAGCATAGGCCTAGGTGTAAATTCTAGCTCAAGGAGACATACCCGGGCTTCCTCTGACTCAGTTGGCAAAAATTGATGTGTGGCTGCCCTTGGGAAAGTAACGAGAGAGGCTTCCTGCCCCGAGTACGATCCCGTCAAAGACCACAGGTACACAGTCAGGGAGGCCAGCCCCTCCTGCCCCCATGGCGACACTTCGATTTCTAGCTACATGAGAGCTAGCGTGACTATGTCTTCTCGAGCTGGAACATTCACCTTCCAGCCCCAGTGCAGACAGACCCGTGGGCCCCCTGGACTCTCCTAGACCCATCCCTGTTCAGCCCATGGACTTTGTTCCACTCACCCAATGGATACATGTCACCTCGGGTTCCCATGGTGGCTCAGACGCTGTCAGGGCAGGTCGAGTTCTGAGGATTCTGAGCTTTGTAACCTCCTTATCTTGGAGAAATTAGACAGGAAGCCCAGTCGACTCATGTCCTGTTGCATTATATCGTATCAACCGACAGTACTGCACACAGGAAAGCACTGTCTTCTCAGCATGCCCTGCTCTCCTTCCTTCTGCCCTACCACTTCTCCCAGACCCATAAGCATTTACTTTGCCCAGTACCTGATACCCGATGGGGGAAACTAACCACAGTGCAGAGGGCCTAGCACCACTTCACAGAATCACAGAAATGTGGAGTTGGAGGGACCTCAGGAGGTCAAACAATCCATCCCCATGCGCTGAGGCAGGACCAAGTGCACCTAGAACATCCAACCAGTTCTTAAAGGGATTCCACAGCCTCCCTAGGTCACCTGTTCCTGTGCTGAACCATCCTTAGAGTTAGAAAGTTTTTATAAATATCTAACCTAAATCTCCCTCGTTGCTAACTAAGCCAATTCCTTCTTGTCCTACCCTTGGTGGACATGGGCACCAATTGATCACAATCCTCTTTATAAGAACCATTTACATATTTGCAGATTGTTATCATGTCCCCCCTCAGCTGTCTCTTCACTGGACAAAACATGCCCAATTCTGTCAACCTTTCCTCAGAGGTCATGTTTTCTAAACCTCTGATCATTTCTGTTGCTTTCCTCTGGGCTCCGTACAATTTGTCCTCATCCGTCTTGAAGCGCAGCACCCAAACCTGAAACACGGTTCTCCTGCGCCAAATAGAGGAGAACAGTCAGCTCCCATCTCCGACCCACCCTACTCCTGTCAATACATCCCAGAATGACATTTGCCTTTTTTCAACACTATCACACTGTAGACTCACATTCCATTTGTGGTCAACCAGAAACCTCACACCCTTTTCTGCTGTGCTGCTGCCGAGCCAATGAGTCCCCATACCTCCCCTGTGAGTAAGGACTTCCAGCTTCGCACCCTCCCCTGGTGGTAGTTTCATCTAGTCCATATTTTCTTAGTTTGAGTAGGAAAATGTCATGTGGGACTGTGTCGAAAGACTTCCTAAATTCAAGATACATCATGTCCACCTCTTCCCCCCATCCACTAAACTGGGTACCCAATCAAAGCAGGAAATTATATTTGTTTGGCATGACAAATCCATGTTGATTACTTATCAGCTATTATCCTCTAGGTTTTAATAAATTGGTAGTTTAGTCATTTGTTCCAGTATCTTTCTGGGTATTGAAGTTAGGCTGTCTGGTCTAGACTTCCCTAAGAGATCCTTTTTTACCTTTTTTTGAAGTTTGCCCTTGTTATGAACCTCACCCATCTTCCATGAGTTCCAGAAGATAATCGCTAATGGTTCAGAGATTGCTTCAGTGAGTTTCTTAAGTACTCGGGTGAATTTCATCAGGCCCTGCAGAGTTGCATAGATGTAACTTAGCTAAAGATTCGTTACCTGTTATTTCCCTATTCTGGCCAGTGGTCCTTCCCTCTTGTTAAAACTAACCTGTGTGAAGTATCTGGTCACAACTAACCTTTTTAATCCTGTATACAGTAAAATTTAAGAGGTGCCCATACTGAGTGGTTGGTTGGTAACATAATGATCAGAGATGCCAGTGGCCTGGGGTTGTTAATGAGTCTTGCTGTAAGTAGTCATCTAAGGTGGTGCAGCTGTAATGCCGAAGTCACTTTCTGAGCAGTAGCTCTTCTTAACAAAAACCAAACAGAAGAACAGATCTTTATCCAGATCACAGTGCGGCTCCCTATGCGTGAGATGGTGCTGTCCAAGTCTCAGCTGTGATTATAGCTCTTGTCTGCAGCTGTCGTCTTGGAGACGCAGACAGAACATCAGTCCTGCTCCAGATGGTGCCGTAGTAACAGGGTTAACACGGGAAGAAGATGAAAGAGGCAGCTAATGACTATCCATGCTTGGCGGTGTCAGAGAGTGGGATGTGGACAGTCAGGTCTAGTGGTCAGAGCAGGACCTGGCAGCCAAGAACTGGAGCTGTGGGTCAGAGCCAGGGTCCAAATGTCAGCACCAAGAATCAGAGCCAGGGGCAGGAGCCAGGTGTCGGAACCCAGGGTCAGAATCGGGGTCGGAGCCGAAGTTGGAGATGAGGAATCGGAGCTGAGGGTCAGAACCAGGTTACCTGGAGAGAGGCCAGGCAGGAGCAGGGCTGGACCAAGGCTGGAGCTATCATAGCTGTGGGCAAAAGCTTTGAGCAGCTACTGCACTGCTACTTCTGGGCTTAAGAGCCTGTCTGCTGACCCTTCCCACCAATCAGGCAGCTTGGTACAGGCCAGCTGCGCTCGTTAGGTTACCTGGAGACTGGCTCTGCTGCAAGCCCTCACTCCCGACAGATGGTCCTTGTGGATGATCCCATATAGCATGTTCTTCTGACCAGTATCAGCCATTGAGGTTTAAATCAGCCCCCCCGCCCCAGGCTCCTCCAGCCCCCGACAAGGCTGGTGTAGTATCTGCCAATGAGGGCCCCATTCCCAGATGGGGGCACAGCAGAGAGTGGGGGCCAAAGCTGGTTAATTACATTTCAGCCTGAAATTTACCAACAGTTTTAAACCTGGATAAATGCTCTAGTCGGCTTCTGAGCAACTGGGGGATGGAAACAAAGCAATAGGTTGAGACATATAGATTGACCACGGGAAAATACTCACTCGGGTCTGACAAGCATCTAAGCCGTTTGTATGCAGCCGTCCATTTAGTGGGGTCCTTAGGATTCTGGAGGGTTCCAGGGACATGGTAGAACAGTCCCACCCCCGCTCCAATAGCCTCTGTGTTATTGAGGAGGATGAAAGTCTCAGGGAAGGAGAACATGAAACCGGAACAGAGGAAAACAATCAGATAGTTGGGACCATAGAATGATAGATATCAGGGTTGGAAGGGACCTCAGGAGGTCATCTAGTCCAACCCCCTGCTCAAAGCAGGACCAATCCCCAACTAAATCATCCCAGCTAGGGCTTTGTCAAGCCTGACCTTAAAAACCTCTAAGGAAGGAGATTCCACCACCTCCCTAGGTAACCCATTCCAGTGCTTCACCACCCTCCCAATATCCAACCTAAACCTCCCCCATTGCAACTTGGTGGATTGAGGATAATCCATGGGACACAGTAATACCAGGGTACAAAATATATCGGAAGGACAGAAGGGATCATGCTGGTAGGGGAGTGGCACTAGAAAGCATTGAGTCAAACGAAGTAAAAATCTTAAATGAACCAAACTCTATGATGGAATCTCTATGGATAGTAATTCCATGCTCGAATAATAATAATAATATAGCAGTAGGGATATACTACTGACCACCTGACCAGGATGGTGATAGAGACAGTGAAATGCTCAGGGAGGTTAGAGAGGCTATAGCAATAAAAAACTCAATAATAATGGGGGATTTCAACTAGCCCATTAATGACTAGGTACCTATCACCTACGGCGGGACCCAGAGATAAAGTTTCTTGACACCTTAAATGAGTGTTTCTTGGAGCAGCTAGTCCTGGAACCCACAAGAGGAGAAGCAATTCTTGATTTAGTCCTAAGTGGAGCACAGGATCTTGTCCAAGAGGTGAATATAGATGAACTGCTGGTAATAGTGACCGTAACATAATTACATTTACCATCCCTGGGTGGGGGGAATGCTACAGCAGACCACCATGGGAACATTTAATTTCAGAAAGGGGAACTACACAAAAATGAGGAAGTTAGTTAAGGAGAAATTAAAAGGTACAGTGCCAAAAGTGAAATCTCTACAAGCTGCATGGAAACTTTTTAAAGACACTTTAATAGAGACTCAATTTAATCACATACAGGTCTGTCTCATCTTACGCTGGAGTTACGTTCCGCAGTCAGCGCCTAAAGAGAAAATCGCATATAGTCAAAATTACATTAAGTGTAATGGCAGGCGGAATTACCCACACTACAGAAACAGAATTTAAATAGTTATTTTTCTCTTTTTTTGTTTTTTTTGTTTTGTTTTTGCCGACCGTGTAAAGCTGAAATCGCACATGTAAAATGCGCCTAAGATGCGACAGTACCCCAAATTAAAAAACATAGTAAGAGAACCAGCTTCAGGGCCTGGAGGCTAGAGTAGGGCTCCTTGGTCTCCAGGCTCTACACCCGCTAGCGCCGGTGGGCCACCTTTGTGGCCGTGTTGGCAGCAATCTCCAGCTCCCACTGCACTGGGATCAGCTTGACCAGGAGTGGGGTGGGTCAGAGAGGGGATGTGACTGTTCTCTACTCGGCACAGGAGAACCGTGTCCAGGTTTGGGTGCTGCACTTCAGGAAGGATGAGGACAAATTGTAGAAAGTCCAGAGGAGAGCAACAGAAATGATCAGAGGTTTAGAAAACATGACCTGTGAGGAAAGGTTGAAAGAATTGGGCGTGTTTTGTCCAGAGAAGAGACGGCTGAGGGGGGACATGATAATAATCTGTAAATATGCAAAAGTTTGTTATAAAGAGGAGTGTGATCAATTGGTGCCCATGTCCACCATGGGTAGGACAAGAAGGAATTGGCTTAGTTAGCAGCAAGGGAGATTTAGGTTAGATGATGGTTCAGCACAGGAACAGGTGACTTAGGGAGTTTGTGGAATCCCTGTTATTGGGGGGTTTAAGAACAGGCTGGACAAAAACCTGCCAGGGATGGTCTAGGTGCACTTGGTCCTGCCTCAGCACATGGGGATGGATTGTTTCACCTCCTGCGGTCCCTTCAAGTCCCCATTTCTGTGATTGTGTGAAGTGATGCTAGGCCCTCTGCACTGTGCTCAGTTTCCCCCAGAGGTACTCAGTAAAGTAAATGGTGATGGGGCTGGGAGAAGTGGTGGGGCAGAAGGAAGGAGAGCAGGGCATGCTGAGACGATGGTGCTTTCCTGTGTGCAGTGCTGTCGGTTGAGACGATAACATGCAACAGGACATGAGTCGACTGGGCTTCCTGTCTAATTTCTCGAAGATAAGGAGGGTACAAAGCTCAGAATCCTCAGAATTGACCTTCCCCTGACAGCGTCTAAGCCACCGTGGGAACCCGAGGTCAGGGCCGGCTCC